ACTTGAGCACAATTCTAGTCTGGAAATACTGCTACTTTTGAAATTGCTTTGTCAACTGTCCATTTTATTGTAACCTTCAAAATGTTTTCCTCTTACTGTCATTCTTAAACTTCTCTTCAGTTCTTTTAAAATGTAAAAAGAAAATGAAACAATAGTTCCTCGAACTACAGTTTTCTTAACCGTGTCATAAAAGAAAGAATTATACGAACGATTTGAAAACGTGCAGCGTTGGAATATAAAAAGTCCCAGAACAGATAACATAATTTCGACAAATAAATTAACAATACAATACAGCATGAAGTCTGGCAGATGCTGTTTCAAAAAGAAAATGCGTATTTGTTTGCCCCTTCGTTTAAAGATTCGCCCATTTTGAATGCTTTAACTTCAGTGTGCTAATTTTTATGGCCCATTTCTACTTCTACTTAGAATGTTAAAAAAATAATAACCAGCAAATTCAAACAGACTATAGGATGGAATAAAATTCAACTCAAGGAATATGGATTTCGTATTAAATAGTGAATATATACAAAATTTGTTATACCGGCCAAATCCCGCAAAACTAAATGATGTTCTTTTACTATTTTACATCGCAAACCTAAGAGCAATAGCATATGCCTATTTTGTTTGTACTGACATAACAAAGTGAACGTACTCGAAGAGCAACTTTCAAAAACAGTAAATAAACTTACATATGGAGGTTCCAGCTATAAAAAATAGCGAATTTCCACTAGTCACAGAGGAGAAATTTTTAAAAGTATTCATAGAAGATCTGAAGACTCTACAAAAACATTAACAAAAGCATAATACTTACTTTGGTCAGGATAAAAAATTAAAATGGAGAAAAATTATTTCGTTTGCTCTCAAGCTTTAGATTTCATAATGAAGAAGTTGAAAATTATATGAAGTTGAAAAAAATTACAGCTGAAAATTACCAGTCTACAGAAGAGAAGAAAGAACAAAAAAGGGCTGCTGAATATACAAATTAAAAAGCATGCTTTACAATCCTAGTGAAAGCAATCTATTGATCGAAATAAATATCAACGATATTCGAAGGAAATCTTAAATAACGATGCCATCGTATCTTACACTGGAATCATCGCTTTCCATATGAATTCTGATATGCGCTATTGTTAACTAAAAAGTGTTACGAAAACGTCAGTTTATAAACAGCTTTTCTATTTTCAAAACTTTTCCACTATATATATATATATATTGTTACGAGATAAATTCTGAAGAAAGTTCCTAGTAAGCGCAATTATTACCAAAAACATTATTATTGCTATGGCTGTCATTTCTGGAGAACAATGATAACTATTGAATTATAAACAATAAATTATTTATCCAGCAAATATCCCCAATCCGTAATATTTTGCCTGTCATATGAATAACGCTCTAAGTATGTAACTATTTTCATAGTAAATGTCATTTGTTACAAACCTAACTAACAAAGATTTTTGTATCCTTCTTTCGCTGTATACCCAGAAAGACGAACTTTTAACCAGATTACGCACTGAACTATTTCAAAAACACGTTCTAGCAACTATTTTAAAATATCTGATTTTAGAAAACAAGTAGACCTACAATAAAAAAATTAAGACTAATCGAAATGTCTAAAAGCCTAATCAAATCAGAAATTTTCAAACTCAAAAGTTAAATTTTGAGTAGATAAAATTTGAGAGCTTTCAATCTAAGGTAATTGTGATAAAAAATGGAATTATTACATTAAAGTACGTAGTTATTTGTTCCGCTTCATTTGATGGCTCTAACTGTACAATTAATTCACGAATCTTTCCAACAACTTGATTCAATATATCGATTGTAATCTGTAATGAGTAATGTCAAAGATGTCATTATAATGATAAATGTTATGTGCAGTTTAATTTTATTACCCTTAAGAGAATTAGAATATCTATTCCCTTACCCATATCTGTAAATATCAATTCTTTTAATAAAAGAAAAATGTTTAAAATTAGTTCTTAAAAGACCAACCTCATCACATCCATCTTCATAGAAATAAAGATAGTGATTAAAGACAGTTATATAAAGTTGTATTTGGACAACTGGATCCATGCACTGAGATGCAACACGTAAAGCTTTTTTTAGGCAATTTATGACCTGAAGAAACTGACTTCAAAAAACATTGGCCTAAAAATCATTTGCTTCTATTTGAATTTTTTTCCATATATCTATTCAAACAATCCACACGCACAGTTTTGCAAAGCGCTTAGGACGAACTAAATCGCAGAAATGTCATGGCCAATCATGCACTTCTATATTTGCATAACAACAAAGGGATGAAAAAATCAAACTACCTGCACGGAATCTTTCATCGGAAGATCACTGTTTGCTGTATGACCATTCCAAAACAAATGTGCCTCAAATAAAAAATCGTTTCATCATAAATTTCTGCTAATGAGTGTTATTTTCATATTTTTTAAATTTGATCTTGCAAGGTCCTTAAATCATAACTGTACTTTAATTACAATGCTATCTCATTAAAATAAAAAACCGTTTATTGCTTGTTTTTAAATGAAAAAATAACCATATCTTCTAGTGGTAATTCTCATAATATTACAGTTTCTATGAAACATAAACTTACTACTAAGCAAACTGCTACACACTGATCAGCTTTTTTAAAAAGCTTAGCAGAGGAATGAGCGCACTGAGTACGTAACGGTTCATGATTTTCTTCTGTTAAGCATTTTACTCGCTCAAGAGTACCTGCAGTTCGATTTTAAAGTCAAATTCAGTCATTAAAACAAAATTTAAAACTACGAATTATGCTTTAAACAAACTCAGAAGCTAGAATTATTAGTATCTTTTAAGGTCTAATATACGATCATTTGAAAAGGATTATAAATATTAACAAGCAAAAATGACACATTCAATTTTGATAGTTTTGAGTTGAGGAATAACATCTACCATGAAATATGTGTACATACCTATAAGTAATGATATTGCTGCCAGCTGTTCTCGACTATCAGCAACTTCCTCTTCATAAATGGAAAAAGCCTGCAAGAATATTATTAATAAATAATGCAGCAGCTTTTATCATGCATTTACAACTGTATAATATAGGCTTAAACTTCTAAAAAATAGTAACCTTAGAAAAGAATTCATATGCAACAGTCACACTGTTTTCAAATTTGATTTGGTCAGCGATCAATACTCCCTGCAAAATCTGAGTTCATACAAAAAAACTTTCTATTAATGAATTACTTGTTTTACAATTTCTTTCCTCTATGACTAGGTGAAGCATTTTCTTTAAGAATTTCGACTTTATAAAATGAATCATACATCACATTGCAAATTAATTCGAGACGAAAATCGATCAAAAATATGAACCTGCAAATACAATCGTATTGGTAACTGTGAAAGTTCTGCTGACGAAACTAAAGCGTCTACTGTATGCATACAAAAGACGAATATTTTTTGCAGTTTTGCATCACGTTTTTCCTGAAGTTAGAAATATAGTAAAATCTAATACAAAAAAGTAGAACGGAAAAACATAGCTAAATTTGCACTGAATCCACAAGCATCTACGGTTCTCTTCTGCTCGTTTTCATTTTTTATGAAAAATGAAGGATAGCGCAATATTACAACTTAATCATATTCTCTAAAAATTTAACTAGTTGAAAAGAACAAACATCATCGGATTCAGCCGCATAGCGAAGAATTAACTGATATAAGGCAAAAGTAATGGTAGGCAACGAATACTGAATTCGGTAACGTCCCCCAGCACCAAAACGCTTTCTCACTGCACTGATTATCTGCAAATGGAACAAAAAATAAGTGTTAGTTGACGGAAAAAAAATAACCTGTAGTTTGTTCAATCGCCGTTTTGCGAGCAAATTTCTTATTTATGCTATGGTATACTGCTCTAGTTTTGCTTATTCTAGTAATGTTTCTTGAACAAGGATCTTAACTATAAATATTATATTGTTTTTTTTTTTAGCTTTACATTCTCAAGCTGGTGAAATATACCAAAAACTGCTGATCTGTTGTTGGAGCATGGATGAGATTAACAAATCGTGAAACAAGGGCTTGCTCATCGGCAAAGTCTTCATTCATTCCTAGATCTTCAGGCTGGTCTTCCTGATCCACCAGTAATGGCTCGATTAAATTTAATAGTTTCTCCACTGCTTCCATTGTAGTTAAAACTGTATCCTAGAATAAAAAGAATATTATATATCTCATATACTAGAAAACTGTAAGTTTCTGGAATCGAATTTGAAAATTTTGCACTGTACTAGTTGAAACAACTTCTCAGCAATGCAATAAGCAAATAAACTTACATTATCTACCATCTTCTGTAAAACATATGCTGCTGCCTGGGTTCTACCACGGTAATCCATCAATCCTAAGACATCACTATAGTGTTCCAACTGAAGGAGTTTGTCAACGTCATTGTATTGATCCACTGGGATTCGCAAAATTTTCATTATTTCATGGCCAACAATGCTATTGTACGGAGCTCTAAAAGAGAAAAATACAAAAAATAAACGAATTTAAAACACCTCAGGAGGATGACTGCATGTTTAACATGCTAACACACACGTTCATGACAAAAGTGTATTTAAGCGCAGAAGGAAAATCGATATCTTGAAACAGCCATTGTAACTGCACATTGAAAATAACAAAATGTAAAATTATTTACCTTGATATTTTAAACTTAGTGAAAACATTTGCTGTGGTGGCGAAAACTATATCTGCATAATCAGTTCTTTCCGAGTAACATTTCAAAGCAAAGTTAACGAGAGTAGTCTAAAAATTAAATATCTTTATGCATATGCCCGAATCAAGCAAATCAATATCTTTTCTGACTAGAAATAATGAATAATAGGCATCACATATTTTGTTGACGTTAAAGCGGAATTTTAAAAACCATACCTGCAATGAAACGACATCTTCCGGTGGCATTCCCTCCCGACTCATTATCACTGATTGTGTCTGCTTTGAAAAGATCTCAAACAGTGGCATATCGTTGGGAATTTCAACACCTTCAGATGATGCATAAATTGCAAGACGATCAATTAAAGCTACGAAAACGTTTTTTATCTGCAAATAAATCACACTGCAGATTTACTTGTTGGAAATGACTGACAAAGCTATTAGCAGGTACAATTAAAAATGAACTTCGAGAACAAAGATGACTCAAAAATTTGTTGGGGATTGGAAACTGGAACAAACTAAGATCTACCTGCACACCTTGATCCAATTCAGAACAAGCATGGAGAAATTCATGCAAAGTTGCTAAGTGATACTCATCTGGAAAGACCTGAATAACACATTCCATAAGATATTCTTGAGAGATCGCATCTTTGCATGACACGGCTTGCTCCAAAATTCCAGGCAATACAATCTGCAAATGTTGCAACTAAAACTTTCTAGACTTAGTGATTTCAAATCAGTATAAAAAATCTGAAAATAAATGAGAATGATTGTTAACAATTATTAAATTTCAAAACATTTCAATGATATATAACTAAAGCTGTAAGAATCCCAAACAAACCTTGCGGTAAGTATCAATATTGAGATTTTCCAGCTGCGAAAGTCGAACAAGATTTGTTCCTACCAAGATTCGCAACTCTCGTCGTTCACGTTCACGCTTATCCTTCTCTCGACTTGGTCCTTGGTGCTGCATTCGTACCCATAATTTATTCATTTCAGCAAAGTTCACCATAATGAAATCGATTGCATCTCGTACATCACCATGATCGTTACTAAAACAATCTTTATGCTGTGTTATGATATATTTTTTGGCAAATTAACAAAGAATTTGATAATTACGTAAATTTACAATAAAATCAGAAGATGTTTCTAATTCTTCAGCATTTTTTCTGAAATATAAAGAATTCTGACCACATCTACTTCGAAAGACAATAATTTCAGTAAAGTAACGAAACATACTTATCACTCTCTGCTATATCGGGCAACAAATTCCTCGTGCACTGTAGCAAATAATTACGCAGAAAAAGACCTCGAAGTGGATGTTGTACACCGCGACACATTTCAACTAAATCCTTCAATATATCTCGAGCATTCGCTTCCCCCAGTCTTATGTACACAACACCAACAGTTACTAGTAAATATCTGTAAAATATTCTATTCTAAAAAATAGCCTCGTAAAGGAAAAGCTAATGTTGAAATATTAACAATCCAGTTTACAAAAGTTTTTTTTTACTTTGCTTTGCATATGTCAAATACCATCTCAAAATTTGCTTTCAAAATAACGAAGACTTATTGCACATACGAAAACATTCTTTAAAGTTCTTTTTTTCCATAATACCCTGAACTTACTCCATTCCATACTACTTCAGTATTTCGTACTCTTATAAGTTTGATAAAAAAGAATAGAACTATGGGGTAAACACTTGCAGAAAAAAACCTACAAACGAGGGATAACATTGCCAGCATACTGTACAAGCTCATATAAATCAGCGACTTTCCTTCCTTTTTCATAATCTTCAGTGAGATGTGTTTCTAAGTGTTGCAATTCATTAGTTACATCAACATCTGAAAAGAATTCTTGTAATGCAAAAAAAATTCATTTTAATTCCTATCCTGACTCTTATTAACTACAGAATAGTTCGAGGTTTTAACTAACTGAGATACATTCTATTATTGATTTCAGGAAAAACAAAGGATTTTGACGAGTGAACATACTAGATCCGGAAAAGTAATAAATAATTGCATTACATACATATTGTCATATATTATTCAAAAAAATCGGCTACGTATCCGAAAGAATAAAAAAATGACTCAGTAAATCAGAAAGATAAAAAAAAATATACTTATGATGTGTATTATATTAAGAAAGAGGATCATAGTATAGACACCACCAGGTATATATACTGGATTCTAGACATATATTTAGGAAAAAGCTTGCCAAAAATAGATTTATCAAAAAATTCTACTATATGCTCGATCCAAAAATATTTTAAAAAAGTATGACGCGAGCCAACCCGGAAAAATAAAACTTCGACTTGAAATAATGAAATTTTGAAACTCTTACAAAGCCTGTAGTAGTACTTCGGTGTAAGTGTTCCGGTACGCAACTCCGCAAGCATTTGTGATGCATGCTTTAATGCATCCATCAGAACACCTTTATCCAAACACCGTTTCATTTCGAATGATAAGGATCGCACCGTAAGACATGTTTCTTCCAATAATTTCTCCTGCTCTGACTTCAACATAAGGGCATCATCGCTCTTCGTCATTGCTTTTCCTGAATGTTTTTTATTAATCCTTGTAAAGCATGCTTTCTGCAACAGCAAACTAGCTGTTTCATGAATCCCGCAATGTAATACCACAACTATTCAAACTGAATTCAGATAATTAAGGCATGAATTTAATACTAAGCTTGTCAGTTTCAACCGATCGTAATTTCAAGAGAGATCTCGTGTATATAGAACTTCAATAAAATAGAAGGTTCAATAGACGCAAATACTCACCAAGACAAATTCAACTATTCGAAATAGCGAGTACCCTTGAATCAGTTTTATTATTCAATGGACCATATCCCAAGAAATTTTTAAGCAGTAAAAATGTCGAGATCAGTAATAGTTAATAGGTACGTCGGGAACTATATAAATTTATACTGATTCTAAACAAATATAACAATAGTTCCTATTTTTTGTTGAAGCACCTTTGCTCCCATTATAATTACTTGTATTAACCTTAACCTTGCCAAATGCAAAAAACACACAGCAACTCACAATTCCCAGAAAGGAACCACTCCATCGAACCGAGCTAGCAAGGTGGCATACCTTTATGAACTGGTTCTGACAACAAATGTTCATTAGTCCGTACTGTTTGTTATCATACATGACAATAACAGGTCAGCTACATTGACTTACTGTTAATATGCATATAAGCACATACACACACTCATACACATACACACACATACACGCACACATACACACACACATAC